TTTTTTTTATCCGTTTTGTATTTATTTCTTATCTATTTATGTGTGTACATGTTACTGTATGTTATAGTATGTGTACAAGGCAAGCTGCTCAAACAAATTGCCACAATTGATGGGATTGATAAAGTTGTCTGAATCTGAATCTGGAAAATGAGTCATCACCAATTTCTTGAGTTTTGGAAGCCAAAATACATGTGTGTTCTTCTGAAACAGTCATTCCAAAAACGCCTTATGCCTATACATTTTTTGACATTGTGAGTTTGGATATGCTGAGTTTGAGTTTCCCTGTTGGAATGCCACTTCCATTGCCTTACCTTTAAAGTTAGTATCAGTGATGACAGTTCAGAAGAAAGGTCTGATTAATGATACCACTCCAACAAAATGAAAACATATTTATTTTAGTTCGATTTAAAAAAAAAAAATGTAGACAAGAACCGTTTCCTCTAAAATCATCTTTAATAAGGAGGTCTGTGCTTCCACATATTTACAGGGTACACTGTTCCACAGATGGAAGAAAATACACTTTGAAATCCATTAAATATTGAAATACTGAATTTCACTTGCAAGAATAAAAAAACTGGAACATTGTTTCTGCAGGAGGAAAAAAAAGGCAGTTTTAAAATACATGTTAGATAGAAAATAGCATCAGAGACAGTTTATCTTTTGGGCCAGTTGTGCCGGAATCCTCTGTAAAGAAGAAAAAGACAGCGTGGTTAACGTACTGCGATGTTTGAATCTACATAGGCAAAGAAACTACTGTTTATTGTGAGTGTTTACCGATCGGATTTTCCAGCCATGTACGACATGCTGCGGTTTCCAGCTGCAAAATTGGATTTTTGTCCCTTGGGAGTTCTCTGTTGGATAAAAGATTTAAATTTGTCATTCACTTTTAAAATACATATTGTTACATCAACAAAAAGTTGCAAACAAATACCTTCTTCTTGTTGTCATGGGATTGCCGGTTTGGATCAAACTGTGTGTTGTCCTTTACTTTAGTGCCTGTAAAAACAAAATGAGTGAATTCATTTTTATAATGTACAACAACAGTAACTGAATGAGAAGTAATGATGTGATGTGATGTAATTAAAAAAATCGCGCATTCATACCAGCAAAGACTTTGAGGTCTGACTGACTGTAGTCGAAGGGCTTGAAGGTGTCTTGGGGAGGCGGTTCTGTCTTCTGGGGCTTCTCTTCAGATTTCATCAGCTTCTTAGATGGTTTAGGAGTCGACTCTCCGGCTTCACTGGCCTCACGCTCTCTTTTCTTTCCGCCGCCTTTTGCAAATTCCTAATGAAATAGGTGAGCAACATTATACTCTGCACACCATTTCGAATAAACATTTAATGAATGTATTCTTAAATGCATGTGTTTTGTTAAACTAAGATAACGAAGTGTAAGGTGACAGTTTTGTTATAAAAGTGATTTAACAGCTGCAACTATTTGTAATATTTTAATATTCTGAGGTCTGTTTATTCATGGTGAACCATTAAACTGCATATAAGAACACACATCAAGTTGATCTTTAAGGAATTAAAGAGAATACGGGAAGCATGTCACAAAGCTTGTATAATCATGTTTTCACCATCTTAGACATACTTCAAAAATACAACCCATTTTAACTGTTAAAGACACAGAAATTTAACACGCCTTCATCTCTTCACGCCTGGATTACTGCAGATCTATTAATCGACCCCAGAAAGTACTGAGTTCAGCTGCCGGGCTTTTAACGAGAACCACAAGACATGATCACATCACTCCAGTTTTAGCCTTACTCTGGCTCACAGTATGTTCTAGAATATTTTTTTAGATTTCACTGATTAATTTTGAGGCTCTTCATGGTGTCTTCTACACCAGCTATAACTCTGACCTTTTAGTACCGTACATGCCAGGATGTACTTTGAGGTCCACAGGCAGAGGTCTTTTGTCTATTCCAAAGGGCCAGCTGAAAACTAAAGGGGTGTTTGCTGTCGGGGCCCCAAGGGTCTAGACTGTCTGCCTGAGGAAATTGTGTCGGCCGAGTCAAGGATCTCTCTTTTTAAAAGACGCTTTTATCGGACAGCCTTTCCTGATTTTACTTGAGTTTTAAGTTCTTTTAGACTGTGTTTTATTTCCTCAGTTTTAAATACTTAAGTGTTTTATCAGCTCCTTTAAAAGTTGTTATCATGTGTTGTCTGATTATTAGTATAGATTATTATAAAGAGATCGATAATAACTGACATAGTTTGTTAAACATATTTTGTTTTCCTTTGCTGCATACTTGCCAGGTATATTTCTTTGTACCCTAAAAGCTCAGAGTAAAGTGAAACACTGCATAGATGTAAGTGTGTGGAAATCTTTTCTACCACTTTGTAACCCACACAACAATTTCATCCTATATGGGCTTCTGATTGACAGAATTATACTGCAGTGACGTTCTTAATACAGCATTATATTGACTCATTATTAGTGATGAAACAGTCTGAAGTTGAAAAACCAGCTTCTGCTGCCATCTACAGGTTGAAATTGTCCCTTTGTTTCATGCTCTGCAGAATTAAGTTGTTGTCTCTGTTAATTGAATCCATCAGAGATCACTGTGTGGTGTCCTCAGACATGCAGAAACGATTTAACTTTTTAACCTGTAAGAATCAGTGACACGGTACTCCTCTGCCCAAAAAGATGTGAAATCAGCCTTCAAGATGACACTGAGGTTACATCTCTGCAATGTATTATCAAGCTAAAACAAAGTGGCTGCTTGGGGTGAAGAAGAAACACCACAACATCATTACATTATAGCAGAGGACGATACAGTAACTTAAAGCAATTTAATTTTATGCTAGTTGGTACGTTTTTAAACATTTAACTCTGTTAAGTTAAATTGAAATGTTGAGTTCTACAGTTGTAATTATCCAGCCAGCAGGTTAGTGGCTGAAGCTGCAGCCTCATATCTCAGAATCTACCATTAATCTATACATGTTTAAACAAAGACCCTGCTTCCATCTGTTTGCACAAGCTAGCATCATCTCTTATTTAAATCCACAAAGACAGTTTTTTGTAAAGGCGGGGCAAGTCACAATAGCTTTACATTATGTGCCTACAAGGTTGTTCTTTTACAAGTTTGTCCTTATTGGCTATGAGTGTCCAAGGACAGAGGGATGTCATGCTGTAAGGTTTTCTAAAGCTAACTGTGGTTTGTGACATTGGACATTATAGATCAAGTTGAATTTGAATTGAAATTACTATTTATACAGCCCTTTGGGGCAAGCTTTGTGATTGGGCAACAATGGACTTTGACTTGACTAATCTGTAAAGCACTTTATGCAACGTATGCAATGTGCTTTACAAATAAATGTACTTTGCCTTTGCCTTACAATCTGGTGTTAAAACTATCGATTTATTGATGCATATACTGAAACAGTTTCAGTACTTACTTCCTGCAGTGGGGATACATCTATATCAGTTCTGCTCTCTGTTACTGTTGATATCGAATATAGTCAAGGTTTCCCATACATTTATTTATTTGTGGCGG